TCGAAATGAAGGTCCCCCTAACAATGTTATCTCAGGAGATTCATCGAAACCAAATTTCTCTTCGTATCTACATTGTACATTAGTTTATTTGGGTAATGAAACAGTTGCCACCGAACGCATTTCCGGTTCGGGAAGTGAACTTCACTCATTTGCAAGCATGTAGAGTGAGTTATGAGTAGCTAACTAAAGGAATGTATGCTTCAGGGTTGCAGCAGACCACATTTTCTCTGGCTTTAGCATATTTTTGCCTAATTTCGTGAAGCATGGATACTGCCCCGATGATGTCTGTCACGGTGGTACAGACGACAGCTTGGCACAGTTTCATCCGGTAATCACCCTTTGCTTCCCGTTGAGACGAAATCACGAATTTCTTCCCACCAATTTTCCCTTGGACACTAAACATCGTTTTGTCGACAGTCTTTTTGATGATCTAGACTGCATCTCTAACATGTCCTGTTGTTTGCTTGGCAAGTTGGGCAGGCCTGTGAAAAGACGGACATGTTGTTCGGTCTATCCGCGGGTCGTGGTCTTCTGCTCTTCCCCCCTCTGGCCTCGGGCCTCGACCGTCGGACGATGCTAGTCGACGTGGCCTCGCCAATGGACGGCGCGAGAAGACGAGTTCAACTGGGCCATCGTGTCTGTCGTCGGTTGGTCGATCGACTGACCGGTCGACCGAAGCCGACGTTGCCGTCGGTCAACCGACCCGGTTGCCCGGGCCCTCAGAAACCGTGGCTGTACAAGCCGGTCATGACCAACGTGGCCGTCGTGAGGGCGTCGGAGACGGCGAAATGCCGGCCAGCGTCGGAGTGGCGTTCGGCCAAGAGCAGTCTCGAGCTGCGCCGGCGTCGGCTCAAAGTGACCCGAATGCTGATTGTCATCATCCTCCTCTTCGTGCTGCTCGTCATCCCCTCCATCGTCTTTCAGGTCCTCGTCGCCCTTGACAACACCGAATGCGCCCGACGCGTCATGTCGGCCGTGCACTGGCTCGTCTCGCTGGCCTATTCGACGAGCAACTTCTTCGTCTACATCGCCTACATGCCGAAGTATCGCGACATCGTCGCGTGGATGTTCACGCCGCGCCAATGCCAGGCAGACGCGTCGGCCTACGATCTACACGCCGTCCGGCTCAACCCCACCCGGTACCGTCAGTGCTGTGGTTTCGCCTGCGCCTGCACCCTCCTGCCCAGACCGCGGCGTCGTTGGCGTTGGCGTTGGCGCTGGCGTTGGCGTTGGCGTCGACATTTGCCCACGCCACCCTTTTGGGCTGTCCGTCTTGAGGCTCGACTGCGCGACTGTCTGGCCAGTCTGCTCATCTGCCTCGTCACGGTCTGCTGCACCGCATGTTGGACGACGCCACGCCGACAGGACGACCAGTCGGCAACCGCACCAGCACCAGCTCTGCCGCTGTCGTTGCCATCGCCGTTGCCGTTGCCGTTGCCGTCGCCGTCGCCGTCGCCGTCGCCGTTGCGTCCTCTCGAGGCGCCTGGCAACTGCCACTTGGGCCAGCGGTACCAACCGCCCACGGATCCCT